GGCTGGAGTTCATCGATTCAGTCTTTCTGTGCTTCTGTGCAGCCCGCTCTCTGCGGGTCTCATACGCTGCTGCTGCTTCATGGAAAAATATAGTTCTGCTTCACGACTCCTGCAGTGTCTGCTCGTCTCATAAATTCGGGAGTATATTAGTTTCACTCTTGAATATAACTTCCTGTAACTAGGGGATTTGTTTGGGAGAAATCACAAGCGTCTCTGCAGCAGGAAATGGAGAGCACCTCCATGTATTTCAGTCACTTGTGTCTCACTTTTTTGGGGTATTGTTGGGAATTATATTAGTTTGCATTTGCAATCAGTGGGTGGCAGCGTTGGGGAAGGCTTAGTTCAAAGTGATGTGTCTGCTAAAATAACTAGTGCTGCCCAGTGGAGATTCACTCTATTATTTTCGTTAAGTTAAAATACAGCAAAGGAGGAATGGCTAAAATGCTGCCTGCCCTCCAATTCTGCTACAAGAGCAACATGACACAAACCCTGAATGGTTCATTTCTTGTTTGGGCAGGTACTGCATCTGTGTAAGATAATGTTTATGTTAAACCCTACTTGTATGCACTCCTCTGTGTAATTCCTCTTATGCTGAGTCTCTTGTCTTTTCTTGCTCTTCACTATTTGCAGCTATTTACACTGAATGGATGGATGTATAAATTGGATTTTGCGTGAGCATGTTCACTTTTCCTGGAGACTCTTTTGAGCATTGACCAAACCTGGAAATTACCTCAGCTCTTAATTTGGATGGGTTTTGTAGAGCTTAATTGTTTGAACGTTTTGTAAGCGCAATCATAACGGGGTATTTTATAATATCAGAAAAGATAGTTTTAATAAAGCTGTCTAGAGCTAGAAAGAGGAACTCGTCCTTTGATGCTCCTTTGGTAGATGAAAACATTTTTGTTCAATAGGAGACCAGCATCTTTTTTTTTTGCTCATTTGAGACCAGTTCTGGCAACATACTGATATTCATTCAAATATAAATGCCATATTCACTTTGAAATGCAAATTGTTTAAAGAAAAATAGCATATGGTAGAGGTAAGTACCTTTTCAAATCAGCTCCCACACTTTAGGGATGTGAGTACAGCTAAAAATTATTCTTTGGAAAGAATCTGGAGCCTTTGACACATGGAAGCTTGAACTAATCAAGGCTTCCCAGTAAGCATATACAGATATCCATATGAAGGAAACAGTGCTGAGAATACATGGATTAGCATAGTAATTTAACTGCCCCCCGCTAATCAACTTAAGCAACCAGCTGATGCATATATGGTGGGTTTGAAGAGGCACTCTTTCACAGCTCCAGAATGGGCCAGGTAGCTGGCTGTGGGTTTCGTCTTCGTGTCAAGATATATATCCATCTGTCTGCGAACAGACAGATAATATGTGTGCGTGTACCTGTACAGACAGGGGAGACAACAGATGCAGAACGCAGCCAGACGTTGCTTGTGAGAGCTGGACGTAAAGGCTCCGCGTGCCTTACCCAGCACACAGGGCTTGCTTTTCAACGAGCATTGCTGGCCTCCTCTTTAACTGGCTCTCCCTTGTCTGCTAAAAGACTGAGATGGTTTCTGCTGTGGAGGCTTTATCCTTGAGGAAAAATAAAGGACAGTTGCTTTGTGGAGATTGGGATTGGGGTTTGCCTATTAGAGGAGGAAAAAAACCCGCAGGACTGTTGTGTAGGAGCTTTGGGCAGCATACAAAGTGTGCGAGAACCGCAGTTAACTTCCAGGAGCCCTTGTTTTGGTGTGACAGCATTAGTGCTACTGAGGAGTACACGTCCTGGGCGTGCTGCGATTATTAGACTGAGAAGTGGAAAAATTAGCAATGGTTTGAGAAATAATGATTTTTAAATAAGGTTGTAAGTAATAAGCTTGTGCTAGAGCTGAATGCAGTCCGGGAGGAGAGGAAAGGGCATACTCTGTTTTCTGTCATCCAGCTCTTCTGATACAGACCTGTGGACTCTGGCTTGTGTGGTGTCATTCCTCATGAAAATCTTACAGCACATGGACAAAGTGGAATTTAACCTTGAACACATGCTATCACAAAGGTCGTGGGTGGCAGGGTTATCAGGCTGTGGCAGTAGAAAAGAAGGGGCTGAGCTCGGTTGCATCATTGATCAGTGAAGTATTACACGAGGAGACCTGGCACCTGTTTCTTGCTAGCAGCCCATACCCTTCAGAAATGTTTGAAAGAAAAATTCTTATTTGGTTTGCAGGACAAATCACTTCCTCAACAGGTTGATGTCATAATGTGGGGTGTGGAGTTTCATAAGATGGCATTAAGGTGAAAGTAAAGCTTTTGGTGCTGACATGATGATGCAGAAGTATTGTTATTTTTTATTATTATTATTTTAATTTTTTGATTTTGCATTATGGTTAGAAAGTGACCGGACACTTGTGTTGAAAGTGTATGAAGTAGGCAGAAGATGTCAACATAGAGATGTTGCTGCTCTCAGCAACTCGGCCACCCAGCACAGAGTAATGGGGATGTGTCATCCAGGCAAAGACATCCAGTAATTGTTTCCATTTTCCCGTTATACATCAGAAAGGATCCACCTCAGCTTTCACATACCCGTTTTCTCCTTCATGATCTTTGTTATGAAGATGCTCATGCAGGAGTTAATCAAATGTTTGTAAACTCATTTGTAAAGTTAAAGGCTAATAAACAAAATCAGAAACAATGGTCTTGACATCTGTCGTTGACTCTTGAGTCCTTCATAGCAATGCCACCAACTGGTCCCCAGGCACTGCTGCTACACGGGGTCATTCTGCCCCAGGAGCAGAGGTTAGGACTTCTTATTGAACCACGTGGTGTTTATGTTGGCCTAAATCTTACATTTCTAGAGTCCATTTGGTCTCAAGCTCTGTCGTTCATGTCAGCCACTCTCTTTAATTTGGTGTATCATCAAAATAATTTATTAATGTTCATAGTTTTTCTGCATCATGAAAACCAGAGGAAAACCCTGATGGTTATTTCAAAGTAAGCATCAGTGGCATCACAGAAGTTCATTTTGAAGCAGGTCTTTCTCATAAGACACCTCAAAACATGTACTGTCAGCTGGTGTTTCCATTTTCTATTGCAACTGAGCTATAATGTGGTCTCTGCTTTCTACCTTCGTTGCTGTAGGCCTGATTTCTTTACTGAATGTCTCTTTGGAAGGTGTCTTCAGAAAGTGCTAAAAAACCAGCGTTAGTAAATTGCTCTCAGCTGATGGGGTCAAACACACAACATCCTGAAGAGGACCAGTTGTTGGAGGCATAAGTTTTTTCAGCGGTTTGGCACATGATGCTCTGATTATGGAATTATTTTGGACAAAAGTGTTGCCCAGGGAAGGGGATTAGAGAGGAATTATGCGCCAGCAGCTAAAGCACTGCTTTGGGAGGTCCCAACATGTTTCCAAAATCCACTTTAGACTTTGCATAATTGAGAGAATTAGTTTTTCTGTATGTATTTCATGTCTACAAAGTAGAGATTGCCGAACAGGAGTTCTTGAGACTAAGTGCATTCAGGACTTGGGTGGACAGGCACTGTAGTGCTGGATCTGTGTTGAGGAGTAAAGATGAGATTTAGCCTTGGTAAAGGGGAGGAGAGGAAGGGACAATTATGCCAACTCTAATAAACACAAAGTAGTTCACTGAGTTCTGCTGTCTTCCCAAAGGCTGCTCTGGGAAAAGACATAATGATAGAACTGGGAGTCAGGAGATGTGGGTCTTATTTTCAAGTCTGCCACAATCTTCCTTTGTGGCCCTGGGTCATTTAACCTCTGAAAAATGGGGGAAATGATAGCAGATAATTAACAACTTCACAGGAGCATTGAAAATTAATCCATTAATTTTTCTGAACTCATCAGTAGAAGGTGCAATGGAAATGCAAAGTGTTGGGGTATTTTATAAAATTGCATCTGTTTCTTTCCCTTTACATGTACTTTTAGAGTGTTCTTAAATCCAGAGAAGACCTATGGGGCACCTTTTAAGAGCCTGCCACAAGGAGTGAAACTAGCATTGCAAAATACTTGTATCTTTATAATATGCAAACCCAGTGCTAGGAAGGGAGAAAAATGTGCTCAGAACCCAAAACTGTGGAGCAGACTTTGGTCCATATCAAGTTGAGTCGGACCATCAGAAATCTGATTTTCTGGAAAGGTTTTAATCATTTTGGCTCTAAAATGTATTCAGCCACATCACACTTCACCCACTTTATGTTGAGAAACCTGTCCCTGTTGCTCCACCATGCACACATCTCCCAGCATTTTATTGTCGTAGCCTTCACGGATCATGAAAATCCTGAAATGGTTTCTGCTGTTCTTGGGGTAAGGCTGGTCTTTGTATCTCACCTTTTGGGTCATAGGCCTTCAGTTAGGGTCGTGATGGGTGTATTGCTGTGGGATGAGGTGCAGGAATGACATTTGCAGTCAATGGAACAGTCCGCCGGTGCGTGCTTTGCATAATAATATTGCTTTAAGATCAAAAATCTGAATAAGTTTTTTTTAGTGTTGCAGTGCTAGTGGGTGGTTGCTCCCCATCGCTGCGTTCTTGGCTTTACTTGGGGGACAGGCTTGTTTGAAATGTTATGTAGAGGTGGGTTGTTTTGAGCTCTTTGAGTTGCCTTAGTTGTCTCATCTTGGCTGCTTGTATGAAGAGTGCTTTTCAGGAATGGGTTTATTTTCTGTGCATTGTGTCTTTCGTGCTTTGCCTGTAGCAGGTGGAGAACTGCTACAAAACGTGGCTGGTAGCAGGGCTGTGGAAGATTGCTTTTTCCAGAGGATGTGTGAACAGAATGAGGGGAAATCTTGAAAATGGAGGCTCTTCTGTCAGAAGTTCCTAGCTGGATTTGAGCGGTGCCCCAAGCTGGTCACAGGACTGTTGTCTGCAGAGTTCCAGGGAGGGCTGTGTTGGTTTTCAAGTTTTTCCTGCTCTGTTAAGATGCACCCGTCCATCTTCATGCAAATCAATTTTGTCTCCTCTATTGACACAATTTGTTTTCCATTTATGTCTAGGGAACGTGACTACTAGCACATCTGTGTCTCAGATGGCAAGTGGGATCAGTCTAGTCTCCTTCAACAGCCGCCCGGATGGTATGCATCAGCGCTCTTACTCGGTCTCCAGTGCAGATCAGTGGAGTGAGGCAACAGTCATTGCAAACTCTGGCATTAGCAGTGGTAAGAAACCTGGAGCTGGGAGGGGTTATCTGCTTTGGGGCGAAGGGGGATTTTGGTGGTTTGCTTTTTTTAAAAAGAGAGAAGAGAAGAGAAAACACAACCTGATGTTCACCCAGATGCTCTGCTGGAAGCCAAACTTCTAGCGTCGGAGAGAAAAAGGAGAAATAAGATGAAAGAACAG